ACACCCTTTTCTCTTCTGGTTACTGGCAATGCTTAGCACTTCGGTAAGTGCAAGGAATGGCAGGAATGTGCATTGGAGAGTCTGCAGCAGCAGTGGTCTGAAGGACTGTGGGCGTGTGTCCTAAATTTCATTTCTGAATGCTGCAGTGTCTTGCCTTTCTGAAATCTGTGTTGCTGTAGCATTGCAACTTCACTGCGTGGGCTAAGTTAATAAGCCCTGCAAGAGCTAGTGTGCTCTGCTCATCCTTTTTGATGGCTGTGTGCTTTACCAGTGTCTTCTGTTCATTGGATGCTTGTGAGGTAAAGTAACCAAGACTGTTTCCTTTTCTGAATGGAACAGAGTTTTATACTATTCTGAGTAGACTTGATTGATATGATTGGGAAATGACTATTTGCTGTCTCCTCTAATACAGGAATTAAGGAACATGAAATGAGATGAACGGGTAGCAGTGATCAGAATGTTACAGTTCTTCACAATGTCCTTTGACCAGTCTTGAGACCTTTTAACTTTGGTCTAACTCTGGCATAGGGGATGTACATTTTAAAACTTCGGTTAGCTTTATGTATATAGGTAGGTACTTGAGAAGAATGTAAATGATAGACAGATAGATAAGGTAAGTGTCATTTTGACACGAGTTAAGACAGCGACTCTAAGATCATTACCAAGACTCTAGTTAATAAAACTTAGAGAAGTTAGGTAGTTCCCTATGAATGGTCTCTGAGATACAGTCTGATTTCATCCATTGAGGTTTTCCTGCAGTACCCATTAATTAATTAATTTTCTGTTATTTGTATTACATTATTCTTTGCAAGGTCATAGTATCATGTAGTTAAGATTTTAACATTCTTTCTGATTTCCAGGGACGTTAAGGTAATTCCCAGGTCATGGCTGAGTATCAACTCAGTACAGTCAAATTGTATAATTTCTTGATGGAATGCTGTGGATGATAAAAAACTTAAAATGAGCTTGAATATCTGAATCATAGAATCATAGAATGTTTTGGGTTGGAAGGGACCCCTAGAGGTTATCCAGTCCAACCCCCTTGCAGTGAGCAGGGACACCGCTAACTAGGTCAGGTTGCTCAGAGCCCCGTCCAACCTGGCCTTGAATGTTTCCAGGGATGGGGCCTCTACTACCTCTCTGGGCAACCCGTTCCAGTGTTTCACCACCCTCATTGTAAAGAATTTCTTCCTTATATCTAGTCTAAACCTACCTTGTTTTAGTTTAAAGCCATTACCCCTTGTCCTGACACAGCTGGCCCTACTAAAAAGATTTTTCCCACCTTTTCTATAGGTTCCCTTTAGGTACTGAAAGGCCGCAATCAGGTCTCCCTGCAGCCTTCTCTTCTGCAGGCTGAACAAGCCCAACTCTCTCAGCCTGTCCTCATAGGAGAGGTGCTCCAGCCCTCAGATCATTTTTGTGGCCTCCTCTGGACCTGCTCCAACAGTTCCATGTCCTTCTTGTGCCTAGGGCTCCAGAGCTGGACACAGCACTGCAGGTGGGGTCTCACCAGAGCAGAGGAGAGGGGCAGAATCACCTCCCTCGACCTGCTGGCCAAGCTGCTTTTGATGCAGCCCAGGGTGGGGTTGGCCTTCTGGGCTGCCAGCGCACATTGCCGGCTCATGTCCAGCTTTTCATCCACCAGCACCCCCAAGTCCCTCTCGGCAGGACTGCTCTCGATCCTTTCTTCCCCCAGCCTGTACTGATACTGGGGGTTACCCCGACCCAGGTGCAGGACCTTGCACTTGGCCTTGTTGAACCTCATGAGGTTCACACAGGCCCACCTCTCCAGCCTGTCCAGGTCTCTTTGGATGACATCCCGTCCTTCTGGCGTGTCAACTGCACCACTTGGCTTGGTGTCAATCTGCAAACTTGCTGAGGGTGCACTTGATCTTGCTGTCTGTATCATTGATGAATATGTTAAGCAGCACTGGTGCCAGTACGGGCCCCTGAGAGACACCACTTGTCAATGGTCTCTGTTTGGACATCGAGCTGTTGACCATTACCCTCTGGATGCAACCATCCAACCAATTCCTTATCCACCGAACAGTCCACCCATCAAATCCATAGCTCCCCAATTCAGCGAGAAGGATGTTGTGGGGGACCGTGTTAAAGGCTTTGCAGAAGTCCAGATAGACAACATCCATTGGTTTTCCCTTGTCCACTGTTGTTACTCCATCACAGAAAGCCACTGGGTTCTTCAGGCAGGACTTGCCCTTGGTGAAGCTATGCTGGCTATCTTGAATTATCTCCCTGGCCTCGATGTGCCCTAGCATAACTTCTAGGAGGATCTTCCCAGGCACAGAGGTGAGGCTGATCCTGGGATCTTCCTTTCTATCCTTTTTGAAAAGGGGCACAATGTTTCCTTTCTTCCAGTCCCCAGGGGCTTCACCTGACTGCCATGACTTTTCAAATCCCATGGAGAGTGGCTTGGTGACTACATCAGCCAATTCCCTCAGGACTCTGGGATGCATCTCATCAGGTCCCATGGACTTACTGTGTTCAGGTTCCTTGGGTGGTCATAACCTTATCTTCTCCTACAGTGGGAGGAGTTTTACCCTCCTGGTCCCCCTCATGCAGTCCATCAACTCGGGAGGGGCAAGGAGAGAGGTTGCTAGTGAAGACTGAGGCAAAAAAGTTGTTGAGTACCTCAGCCTTCTCCTCATCTGCTGTTACCAGCTTGCCAGTCTCGCTCATCAGCGGGGGTATGCTTTCTTTAACCATCCTTTTCTGGCTGACATACCTGTAGAATCCCTTCTTGTTATTCTTCGCATCCCTCGCCAAGTTTAGTTCCAGCTGCACCTTGGCCTTCCTGACCCCATCCCTACACAACCGGGCAGTGTCCCTGTACTCTTCCCAGGATGCCTGTCCCTGCTTCCACTGCCTGTGCAGTTCCCTCTTCCTCCTTAGTTTGACCAGCATCTCTTGTCTCAGCCATGCTGGTTTCTTCCCTTCTTTGCCCAATTTCTTACACCTGGGGATTGAGAGGTCTTGCACTCTGTGGATCACATCCTTAAAGATTTGCCAGCTCTGTTCTGTTCCCCTGTCCCTAAGGACCATTTCCCAGGGAGTCCTTCTGACTATGTCCTTGAAGAGCTGTAAGTTTGCTTTCCTAAAATTTAGGGTCCTGATTATGCTCTTTGCTATTCCTGTTTCCCTCAGGAGTGTGTGCTGCACCATTGCATGATCACTGCAGCCCAGGCTGCCTCTGATCTTGATGTCTTTGATGAGCTCGCTTGCATTGGTGACCACCAGGTCCAGTATCGCA